TATCAGCAATTACGAATCGCTATTTTGGCGAATTAAGGTGGCTCGCTGGTTTGTCACCTTATGATATAAAAAAGCTATTTTCTTACTTTAATATTTTTCATGACAAAAAGGGTCTATATTAGATTAATGATATCCATTGCTCATGCTTTTAGCGATTCGTATCCTTTGAAGTATCGCAATCTGTCCTGAATGGGTCCAAAAGAGCGGAACACGTGCCTTTTTATTGTGACACTTTAAGACACGTTGGTGCTTTCTCATTGAGACACTAGACGAGTATTGTAAGACACCATATATATTATCAAGCTAGTAAACAATAAATATAAAAGAAATGGGTATATAATATATATATATATGCAGGTCCAGGGGTCGAATCCAGCCATGTACCAATGTGTTTTTCGATTTCCGATTTACATATGTACATTTATTCGACGTTCTTACGGTGAAGGTAGACATCGTGATGCTGCACATATCTGAGAAGTAATTCAAAGATATGTGTGAAGTCAACCCGCACTTGGCCAGTGTCGTTGACTATGGCCTAATCACCTTTAACTTATTGTAGGCTCTGAGCCCCTCGGTGGGGACGTATAGTGAGCTGATGATGATATATCATTTTCTACTACCTGTAATTTATAATTTAACTAGGTATATTTAAAACTTTTTCTAATGAAAAAAGTTTTTATTTTAAAATAAAGGTTATATAAACTTTGTTACCGGAACGACAATACCGGCTCGATTTGTTCAGTGTTTTTACAAACTTTTTTCCTTGAATGGAGTAATTTTAAGTTAGGAAATTTAACAAAATAATATCGTTACCTTTCATATAATAAAAATGTTAGTAATGTAAAGAAAATGCGACACTGTGCCGGTGTACTGGCACAACACTAGCCTTATTAAAATGTCGACGTTTATGTCCCCTCACTATTTATCCTGACACTGGACTTTGTAACGAAAGCACGTCATTCGCGTCAAAGGATTCAGAATATCAGTGTCTAAAAGTAGCTAGATTTCTTACGTAGAAAATTGGCATTTTAAGGTTTACACTTTAAACATTTTTACAAAATATTGTTATCTCTCTTTTTTCAACGATGAATGAAAGAGATGATGATACTGACAAATGGTAATCCATTATATTCTAAAGCTTTCGTATTTTAAAATCTTAAAATTAATAAAAACAGACTTAAATGCTTTAGTTTTACACAATATCTGGCTAGTTTTGGTGATAAAAAGTGAGTTCAAACATCAAAGATATAAAGTCCGACAACTACATAATCCGCTTTGAACTCCACAAAGATATATACAGTAAACTTAAACGTTGTACTTCAATAGAACCTCATTGAAACTGTCTATAACAAATAACGTAAAGTTTAAAACTAACTGTGAGTTTCTGAAATTAAATGCCTCGTTAATTATGATAATATATTGACATCCCTTTTAGTCTCTTTGAGAAAAACAGAGACAACAATATTAAAGAAGTTTCACAGAAGTATTATACGATTATAGAACTATAAGCTGTTGCCCGTGACTCTGTCCGCGCGTAATTAACAAAACATAATTAGTAGCCTATGCTTTCTTCCAGACTATGTTCTAAATGTATGCCTAATTTCATCGAGATCTGTTCAGCCGTTCTTTAGAAAACTTCAAACAAACATCCATCCATCTAAACATTCGCATTTATAATATTAGTAAGATTATGAAGTAGCTTAACTTAATTCCACATATATAAATTAATATGATGTAGAGTTGTATTTCAGAGTGAAGATAACTTGGCAAAGTTATGCTAAGTTAAATTAACTTAGCCCGACTTGGCGCTACTTGAAGCTTGTTACATGTTTCTTATTTACTAATCGATATCAAATAGTTTAATGTTAGATACAATATGGCTTTAATATACAATTACTTTGAACAATATCATTGTATACATAATGTAAAATCTTATATATAAAATTCTCGTGTCACTCCTCCGATACGGCTTGACCGATTCTCATGAAATTTTGTGAGCATATTCTGTATGTCTAAGAATCGGCCAACATCTATTTTTAATCCCGCGCGGACGGAGTCACTGGCGACAGCTAGTTTGTTTAGGCTTATAGCTAAGTCCTAAATAAAGGTAACTTTAGATTCGCATATCTTTATTACTAAAAAACATAAAGTAGATTGATTTTTACATTGATTTTACGATATTTTACGACATTTTACCAAATTTATGAAATAAAAACTTTGAAATATATCTTAGACTCAAAATATAAAAATAGTTCTGTTCATTGTTTTATTATACAAACTAGCTGTCTCTCGTGTTCTTCCAGATGTTCTACATCTATGACAAATTTTAGCGAGATCCATGCAATCGTTCTGGAGGTACCTTCTAATAGATATCCATCCATCTAAACATTGGCTTTTAATATTAGTAAGATTATAAAAGCTTAATGATTCTAATATTTATCAAAAATTTCTCTTCTTTTTAAGTAGGCGACTTGAAAAAATCTTTTTTTTTGTACCATTTGAAATATTAAAGGTCGAGGGATGATATTAAAATTCCTGTGACTTCGTCGGATTACAATCGGGAACATCTTGATTCTCTGTTGAAATTGCTCCGACAATCTGGGTCAGATGTTAACGATTACATTCATTTAAAACAAGCCTTTTCATGCCTTGAAGTATTGTCAAGTTTCTAACTAAAATAAAAAAGGGGGAAAAGGATCAGTAATATTAAACTTTCACATCTTTTCAATAATTTAATTTTAATTAAAATCTTATTCTTATAACCAAATATTAAAAAAAAACATCAACAGCCTAATGGTTAAGGGTACGGATTTCCGTTCACGAGGTCGGGAGTTCGAATCCCGGCATTCGACTATTATCGTAAATTGTAGAGCTTAGTTGGAATGGTATAAGAAACATTAGCAAATTAACAAAAATCTGTTGATATTAAAAAAATACTCTTGTCAGACTAAGGGACGGACAACAAAGTGATTCTATAAGGGTTCCGTTTTTTTCCTTACGATATACGGAACCCTAAAAATTAGAAACTAGTCTTCTATTCAATGTATTAATAAACTAGCTGTCGGCCGCGATTCCGTCCGCGCGGGAATAAAAAATAAATAGCAGTCGATTCTCAGATCTACTATATTAAATGTCAAGAAAATCGTTCAAAACGTTTCGGAGAAGTATGACAACTAACATTGTGACACGAGAATTTAATATATAAGATTTTATTAATTACTTATTGCAAACGACTGATTGAACTGAAACATTTGATTAGCAAAATAAATATATTAGTATAATATTTAAACTGTTCTTTTAAATCATATAAAAATCTAAAAGGAATAAGGTAACATATATAAGTAAATGTTTGTATGTAGGTATGTATGTAGAGCAAACTTTACCTCAGTATTGAAGTGGAAAATCGTTTCGAGAGCTCTCTATCGGTGGAACTTTGTAATTTCGCCGCACAACTTGGTGCCCCTTTAAATTCATTTTACGTGGTAAAGCGAAGCTAAATTAATTTAAGTCCCTCACAAAGTCCGCCACAGATTAAATATAGAGAAAATTTAATTAAGAAGACTTAAGGAAATGGCGGAGCTCGAGGCCCACTTGAACATAACCTTACGTTAGTTCTACAAGGAATGGATTGTCTTACATTTACGAGTATTTAGGTCAGTATATAAAGCGAAGAACGTCAATAACCTAATGGTTAAGGTTACGGATTTCCGATCACGAGGTCGGGTGTTCGAATCCCGCCATTCGACTATTGTCGTAAACCATATCCTAGCACAAGCATAGAGCTTAGTTGAAATGGTTAAAGAAACATTAGTAAATTTACAAAAAAAAATAAGGATAAAATTGTCAAAATCAACGTATAGATTTTACACATATTAAATAACAATCCAATTATATTAAAATGAAAGATGTAGAATGTATTTACAATTTTCTTCTCCATTATTTAACAATTTCTTTTGTTCTAGGATAAAGGAAGTATGAAAATGAGTGCGTATTGTAAGTCGTGACGTCAGAATAATCGCTGTGGACCTCAGCTACACGTCGCTCACTGATACAAGATGGCCGACCCTGACGCCTTCGATGACGAGGTAAACCTTTCCTCTATTTTATAATAATTTAAACTATAATATTATGCCTTAAAATATCTAATACTAGGCTCAATATTTAAGCTATAAAAATTTAAGTACGGTTTTGTAATATCCGTATGGATGGATGTTTGTTTGAAGATATCTCCAGAACGGCTGCATGGATCACGCTGAAATTAGGCATAGATGTAAAACATAATCTGGAAGAATATATAGGCTACTTATTAAGTTTTTTTCTAAATCCGTGCGGAAGGAATCGCGGGCAACAGCTAGTAGGAAAATAAAACTATGCTCATAATTAATAGAATGATAAAAATCTAATTGCCTCGTATAGTACAAGATAGCTTGTATAATAGAATTAATTGGTTTGCGTTGGTCAACTAAGTTCGTTAAGCGGCCGGAAGAGGGCGCCGTGTTTGTAACTTAA